TGTTGGTCATTAGTTCAGTTCATAGCAGTAGTCATCCAAATTATGGTGTAACAACTACTTGTGTATAATGCCTACCCCGATACACTCAAGAATAAGAATAAGTTCTGTTAAAAATTGTTTGTTAAGTAAACAATTCAGGCTAAACAAAACTTTTAAACTCGATTAATGAGCAAGCATAGCTTGAACAACTTGGCATTACTTGTTCTGCTTGCATCAATTCGTCATGTCTAAAAACAAATCTGGCTTATTCTCTATGTTCTATTTTTTCTTATTTTTGCGGATCTATAGTTCGAATTTAGGGTTCAATTTTTGCTGATTTTTTCGAATTTTGATTTCGAAATTGGTGATGTTGGTGCGATTGCCCCTGCTTGTAGGGGTTGTGGTGTGGTGGTTGATTTATGCAACAGCAGCTAATTGGTTAGGGGTTGTTGGTTGTGAACTAGTGATTGCAGGGCTGAAAATAAACTTTAGAACATAGGTAGAAAAAATTTGGAACATAGAAAAAAATTAGAACATAGGTTGAAATAATTTAGAACATGGTGTTGATCTTTCCACGTTGTTCTTGTCGATATGTTTATAGAATGTCAATGTTATGATCTAAAATACACTTTTAAGATACGCAAGCAACTGACATAGCTTAGCATGTTCTAAACTCTTTTTAAGCATGTTCTAAACTCTTTTAGAACATGGTGTTGATCATTGTGGAAATATATGAAGTAACCAGCATTATTCGTTCAACACTTCTGGTTATTCTCCATTTTGTTTTATGGGAAGTTTTGAAGCTACATGTGGTGCTCTTCCATTCTGGTCTAGACTGGTCCTCTTCTCTTTTGTGAACTATAATGATTTGGTGTTGACTGTTGTTGCCTAGCTGGGTTTGCTCTTTTCTGTTTCTTGCTCCTATCTGTGTCCTGCTCCAGCTTTCCTGCTTTGTGCTGTTATGTGCAGCTGTTGCTTGGTGTGCAGGCTGACTTTCTCTGTTTCAGGCTGCTGTTTGTGGTGCTGGTTCAGGCTGTGATGCCTGCCTTGCTGTGTGTTGCTAGCTGTTTCCTGGTGCTGCTGGTGCTGTTCTTGGTGTTAGCAGCCTAGTCTCCTGCTAGCTGCTGTTTCTTTGTGCTGTGTTGCTGTCTGGTGCTGCAGCTGGCCTTCTGGGCTCGGGTTGTTGCTGTTGTCCGTTTGGTGGTGCAACTGGTCTGCTGAGGTCTGTTTCTGGTTGCTGCTGCTGTTGTAGGTTGGTGCTGCTGGTTCCACTTGCTGCTGCTGTTTCTGCTTGCTGTTATTGCTGTTTCCTGTTTTTGTTCGGGTTTTTTTTGGCAGTTTCTAGGCGTTGGTGTTTTGGTTTCTATTTGTTATTTTATCTTTGGCCTTTTCTTTTGTTCCCCATTTCTGGCAATAATAAAGAGTATAGTTCATTCTATATTATGGGACTGCTTTAGCCTTCATTTTTGTGTTGTCGATATTCTTCGCATTCAACTGTCTTGTTTTGGTAGGACAATAAGCTGGTGCATTCGAAAGTCTGAGCCTCTTATTGGAATTCCAATGGTTAAGGTGATGACTTCCCGTCTTGGGTCAGTAAACACAATGAACTGTCAATTAAACTTTCAGTTGTGTGTTGCAGGGATTATGCTCATTCAGGAGCGGCATGTTTAATTATGCTTAACTAAACCTAGATTATGTAACGGTAATGACACGATTGGAGCATTGTCTCATATTAGGGAAAGGTTAATTCACGGCTAACCTTTGATTCAAATACACCTAATTCCTACATTGAGTGTCGTTACTTACTCGTTACATTCTACTATCCCAAATTTTGCACAAATTATTGACATTGTTACTAATAAAACTTTAGAACATAGTTAGTAAAAATTTAGAACATAAAAAAGAAAAACAACTTTAGAACATAAGTAGACTAAATTTAGAATATAGGCAAAAGAATTTAGAACATAGGTAAAAGAATATTTAGAACATAGGAAAAAAAAAACTTTAGAACATAGGTAGAAAAAACTTTAGAACATAGGTGTAGAATATACGAACAACTTTAGAACATAGGAAAAATTTGGAACATAAGAAAATGATTTGCAACATAGTAAAAATTTAGAACATAGGAATATAGAACATTGGGAAAAAAAAAAGATCATAGGAAAAAAAATTGGAAATTTAGAATATTGGGAAAAAAAAAAGAGCATAGAAAATAAGTTTAGAACATATACTAAAAATTTAGAACATACGGTGAAAAAAATTAGAACATAAGGTAAAAATTTAGAACATATGATAAAGTTTAGAACATAGATAGAAAAAATTTAGAACGTACGGAAAAAAAAAATAGAAAATAGGTAGAAAAAATTTTGAACATAGGATAAAATTTAGAGCATACAGAAAAAATTTAGAGCATATGAAAAAAATTTAGAACATACGAAATAAATTTAGAACATAGACAAAAAAATTTGAATATAAGATATATATTTAGAACATGGGCAGAAAACTTTAGAACATAAACAATAAAATGTAGAACATAGGAAAATAGTTTAGAACATACATATATTTAGAGCTTAAATTGAAAAATTTAGAGCTTAAGCAATAAATTTTAGAACATATGCAAATAATATTTAGAACATATGATAAAACCTATTAGCTCAATTGGAAGAGCATTATGCAAATGCATAGAGGATGTAGGTTCAATTCCTTCATAGGTTATCTTTATAAATAACTAAAAAAAACTTCAAATGTTTTTTTTTTTAAAAAAAATCCAATAAAACAAATTAAATTAGCACTAAGTTATATGAGCAGAAAATAAGTAGACTAAATTTTGAACATAGGAAAAAAAAAAACTTTAGAACATAAGTAGACTAAATTTAGAACATAGGAAAAAACAAATTTAGAACATAGGTAAAAGAATATTTAGAACATAAGAAAAAAAAAAACTTTAGAACATAGGTAGTAAAAATTTAGAACATAGGAAAAAACAAACTTTAGAACATAAGTAGACTGAATTTAGAACATAGGCAAAAGGTAAAAGAATATTTAGAACGTAAACAAAAAAAAAGAAAAAAAAAAAGAAACTTTAGAACATAGGTAGTAAAAATTTAGAACTTAGGAAAAAAAAACTTTAGAACATAAGTAGACTGAATTTAGATCATAGGCAAAAGAATTTAGAACATAGGTAAAAGAATATTTAGAACATAAGAAGAAGAAAAAAAACTTTAGAACATAGGTTGGAAAAATTTAGAACATAGAAAAAAAAAAAAAAAAAAAAAATACTTTAGTATATAAGTAGACTAAATTTGGAACATAGAAAAAAAAAATTAGAAAATAGGTAGACTAGATTTAGAACATAAGAGTAGGCAAAAAAATTTAAAACATAAAAAAAGAATTACAGAAATGCCATTACTAAAGGATGGTTTTAGATGGTTGGATCAAAACTAATAAATGGTTGAGATTGGTTCTTATATAAGATTGAGTTCTTATATAGAGGAGGGTTCTTACATGAGCCTTCCTCTATATATATATATATATATATATATATATATATATATAATAATATAAAAAAAATAAAATAAAAAAAAAATAATAAATATATATATATATATATAGGGGAAGACTCTTGTGAGAATTTTTTCTTATGTGAGAATTTTTCATATGTGAGAACACTCTTTATGTTCTAAATTTTTACTCGTATGTTCTAAATTTTAAATCTGATGTTCTAAACTTTTCCTTAGGTGTTCTAAATTAAATCAAATGTTCTAATTTAGTACTCACATGTTCTAAACAATAAATTAGTTAAGTTTGATGTCATAAATTTTAAATAACTTGTTCCAAAATTTTAACTTATATGTTCTAAATTTTAAAACGTGGTGTTTTAAGATTTTTAATTATATGTTCCAGATTTTAAAACGTATGTTCTATTTTTTTTACATTTATGTTCTAAATTCTTTACTCACACTTTTTATATTCTATATCAGTTTGTTCTAAATTTTTATTCACATGTTCATAATCTTAAGTCAGATGTTCTAAATTTTACTCATATGTTTAAAATTTCATAAAGCAAATTTTAAAATTTTTTAATCACTTGTTCTAATTCTAAAATCAGATGTTCTAAACATATTACTCACACAAATGTTCTAATTTATTTCTCATATGTTCAGAATTTTAATTTGAGTCACATGTTCTAAATTTTAACTCGCATATTCTAAATTTTTACTCACATGTTCTAAAGTTGTACTCACATGTTCTAAATTTTAAATCAGTTCTCATATAAGTATGAATTCTCACATATGGACTTATTCTCACCGGATCCCTCCCCTTTATATATATATATATATATATATATATATATATATATATATATATATATAAAATTCCCCAATGAATAAATACATGATATTATCATGAATTGTAGAAAATAATGTTACTTGTACTTTGTAAGATTTATAATTGAGCCACTTATAATGGTGAAGGTAATGATTATGTCAATAACCATAAAGTATTGTATAACATTCATTTCATATGGTTATCCTAGTATAATCGGAGTTATGTATACCAAATACTCCGTATAATGCAATCATTTGCTCATTTGTTTCCATCATTTCGCTGATAAATCTGATTGTCAAGTACCTACAATGCCTATAGTTTTTAAAGAGTAAAAGTTATACATGTATGGTGGATATTTTTTTTTTCTCCTTTTTCAAACCGTTAATATATACATATTTATATTCGTTGGAGATTTTTTTTTAAAATGCAGTCATCAATTTTATTTGATAACAAGTCATATTTTTTTTCTAATTTTCTATGACCAGTGTACGAAATACTGTATAAACTATGACCTTATCAAAATTCAAAACGTTTTGTTTTTTAACTCCAGTGAAAATCAGGTCAAATTATTGGCATTAAAATCATTTACAAAATAACTTATTATAACATTAATGATGGCATTAACTACTAAGATTAAAATCTTTAAGAAAGAAGGTCATTTATGTCTTTTACACTCTATCCTTTTTAACCAAAATCAAAAACCCAGAAAGAAGAAGAAGGTACTCCAATTATCACTCTTTCCTTCCATTTTATTACAGTTTTCCGAAATCCACAAAATACAAGAAAGAAGAAGATATTTGCAACATTCCCCAAACAATATTTTCATTTCCCCCCAAATTTGTCGACACTTTCACAAACGTCGCAAATTTCACAATTCCACACTCTTGAAGAGAGAGAAAGTGTACAATTGATGCATTCTGGAGTAATTCATGTTCCTCAAATCTTCAATTTAGAGAGAGAAAAAACAAGGAGTTAATTCAAGCATAGAGGGATAAAATTAGGGTTTTTGGGGGGTTGAATTAGGGTTTATAATTTTGGAAATCAGCATTTGTTTGGTTAGAAAGAGATGACGGATGTTGTACTTCACATTTACGATGTGACGAACAGCGGTTCAGATAAGACGAACAATACTATTATGCATATCAACAAGTTCTTCAAAGATGGAATTGGATTAGGCGGTATCTTTCACAGTGCTATTCAGGTAATTTCAGTTTGATTATTTTTGGTAATTTTGTATTTTTGAGATTTTGAATTTTTTGTGCCAGATCTAGGGTTTTTGTTTGATAATTTTGCTAAATTTACCTATTATAGCTCTGCTTTACTGTTTTTATTACTTGATTTTGTGTGTTTACTAGTTTATGATCATATGCTTGATTTCTAGCAATTTTTAGCTTTACATTATTTGAGTTTTTTTGTTTGTTTGACATTAATTGTCGTTGGAGTTTTCTGATTGTTATTGGTTGGTTGTTTGTGGTGGCATAGTTGTTGAGATGCTATAGAGTAGATTGCGTTGCGAATTTCCAGTCTCGGCTGTAGTGTACTTCTATAGTTCTGATGTTCTATATAGAGGAGGTGATTTAAAGGACTGTAGTCTTGAACTCATGATTGTGTACGTAGCAAGAGGAATACTGTCAACGATGTGGTCATGAGGAGGTGGTTTGAAGGACTGTTGATTATTTACGCTTCAAGAAATCAAGAGGATTAATGTCACCGGCGTAGTTTTTACATCATGTCTTTGCATTAGATAGCTGTTGTAATTGTAGTTTGAAGGTCTGTATTGAGAATGAATGAGTTGCATCTTAATGTACCTGGTATGTGAATGCGTTAAAAGAGCAAAGGGCGTGTGGTTATCTGCTGATATGTTTACTTACTTATTAGCAGCAGCATTCATCTACGCTTATTGTAATTATTTTGTGTGCTTTAGGGTTAGGCATCACAAAAGTTTCTGTCCCTTGGTCAGCTTCAGCCAATTAAATATCCATCACTACTGCGTTTCTATGATTTTTTTTTTTTTTGTTTATTTTTTTTTTTACAAATATCAACATTTACGCGTGATGATTGGGAGCCTCCTTTATTTGTTACTCTTTAGTTTGTCTAGATAGTATGTTTGTTTTATAGTATTTTGTATTGATACGATGATATATTGATATTTGGTCAGTGCTAAATTCTGACTGACTCTCTCTATTATACCTGAACTCCTGGCATTAAACTTTGAGCTGCCAATTTATCTCTTCCCCTTTTTCTGTTGTTAACTGAAAATCATACATATACCATTTACAAAGTACAAATTAGTGACTTCACGGGGGTGTGAACTTCCTAAGTTGTTATCAAGCTGTTATGTTCCCATGCTAAGTTAATCATTGTGTGTTACTGTTCTTAATTATTAAACAAGTACATTAGAATTGCGGGACAAGAAATTATTCTGACCCGTTTTGTAATCTGTGTTGATTCTACTGTTGTTGCATTCCAATATTTTGGTAATTTTTGATTGTTTTTGTTGGTTATATCAGATTAGTTTGTAGTATATAGTTATGCCAAATACTTCATAGTAACAACTTTATGTGTTTTCAATTTTTGATTTATGACATGTATTAAGGATAGTAATGATAATTGGTAAGTTCCATGGAATAATTACAGGTGTATGGAGAAGATGAATGGTCGTTTGGGTATTGTGAACAAGGAACTGGAGTCTTTAGCTGCCCTGCTACACAAAACCCCATGTATACATACCGTGAAAAAATTGTTCTTGGACAAACCAATCTTCCTGTCTCCAAGGTTAATCAGATTTTGAGGGAACTCAGTAGAGAGTGGCAAGGGGAATCCTATGATTTGCTCGCACGAAATTGCAATCACTTTTGTGATGAGTTATGTGAAAGGTTTGGTGTTCCAAAACTTCCAGGTATAGCATCAGTGCAGCCTTGCTTTTATTATGATTAATTGTAACTAATTTCATGGCCCCTTGTCTTGATTGCATTTATTACTGTCACGAGTTGACTTTTACATTCATAAGATTGTGCTCTTTTGGTATGTGATCACCTAGCTAATCTGTGGCTCCAAATCTGTACTCTGTACATGAGAGCTATGAATATTTTACCACTCTTTACTGTGGTAAATTATCTGGGAGCATATTATGATATCATTAAAAGGTTTAGAAATCTGAATTCCCGATGTCAGTTTAACTTTAGCATGTAAGCGTGTTCTTAGGTTTACATTTAGTAGCAATCTGTATTTAAGCTGATTGGCACAATGATCTGTTCAGTGTTCACTAAGAAAATCCCTCATTTTTAAGTCACTTTTTCTCAAACCTTTCCAACTGATTATCTTTGTTATGTCTGTTTCTCTTTATTGTACGTTTCCTTATGACGATGCATGTTTAGCCGACCCCAAATCATTTTGGGACTAAGGCTTTGTTGTTGGTGGTGGTAATTTGGGGGAATGATTTGTTCACTATATTCCACTTTTCCTCCATCCCTTGTTACCGTTCTTTATAATTCTTCATTCCTTCATTTTCCTACATATTTTTTTGGCGTGAAAACCCCTGTTTTTGGCCATGAGTTGGCCCAATGTGTATTTCTATGCTTACCTAGCATCCTGCTGCGGCTAGTGTGTGTCTCAAGGATTGTCAGCTTTTGTGATGTTTATGTTTTCCTGTTTACTAGATTCGTTTCTACCGATGGGTGGACCAGGTGGTGGTATTAAACTTTTAAATTCCGCAGGGAATTTAGGGAATTGTACTTTATCTAATAATTATCGGTCCTTAACTTTCATTTGAATTATTCTATCAGACATCATGTTTTAGTTTATAATATTATAGTGTATGATAAACCACGTATTCTGTTTTTCTCATTCCCTATGAACTTGTGCATATGTATATAAGAAGTAAGGGTGTAATTGTCTATTGCATACCTGAATATGATTCTATTGCAGCTACTGTTTGTATCATATTATCATTGCTTTGACAGAATTCTGAATCACATTGGATGGAAAGTGGTTTTACCACTCCCCCTCCCTCTCTCTTTCCGGGGCTCTCTTTTAAGCTGCAAGGTTTTTTTTTTTTTTTTTTTTTTTTTTTTGTAGAATCATTATGCAACTCAGGTTTGCATAAATTCATAATGTATCATTGTATCCCAAGTTACTGCTAGGCTATTTTGAGAGAAGATATCTGTGTTCCTAGCAAAGTTTTCTACGAATTAATCGATAGCCCCTGATACTTGCAGGTTGGGTTAACCGATTTGCACATGCTGGTGATGCTGCAGTTGAAATAGCGGGAAACACTGCATATCGTGTAAGCTTGCTTCTGTACTGTCTTAGAAAGTTAAAATTGTCTTTTTTCTCATTGTCAGCGGTGTTAGTAGCATATCAACTTTCTTATCGTCTCTTAAATAGCCTTGTGAAATGTTTATTACCTTCCGAAGGACTAAGATTCGATGATATTGTATAGTACCAAATAGGAGAAACTGCTGGGGTAGTAAAGGAGTAGACTGTATTGGTAGTGAGCCGACCTTTCTCAGAGGGGAATCTACTTTTATAAAGGTTATGGGTCATGTATACCTGCATTGCTGGAATGATGGTAGTGAACATAGGTCCTTGTTTTATGAAATTAAGAGATACCTGTGCAAAGTATTGTTGGTTTTAGAGAGATTGATTTAGATTAAATGGGAAAAATGATTCACTTATTGAGCTAGGTGAATTTCATTTGAGGCCCTCAAATTTAATTTTAACTCTGAAATTTCCTTATACTAACTTGTGCTAATATGAGTAGTGGAAGTTATTGAATGGTAGGATGAGATAGGAAATGTAGTTTAAAATTGAAGTATGAAAGATCTTGTGGTTTAAAGTTGAACGTTGACTCCTAAATTATGATAGTACGTATAAGATTTATTAAGTGTGCTTCACTTCAGTGAGGCGTGTGCCTAGGTGCAGCAGGCCACTCATTGCCTTAATGCACCTTGGGATTATACATTGGGTTCAGTGAAGTTGACTTTGCTTCCCCCTGCACCCCTCCCTCTGCTAGGGATGATTATCCAGCTTTTTCTGCATGCTATATAACATATATAGGAAGTAATCACCAACTGTGAACTTTAGACTTCATTCTGTAAAAAATATGCCCTGGTTTAAACAGCCCAACTGCATGCCATTTTTTGAAATTCTATACCATCTCAACAGCCCATCCTCCCTCCCTTCAGTCTTTTGTTTGTTTATAAGTTCTTATGACTAATTTCTGATATCACTGCAGTTCAAACAAGCTAAGACAGAAATTGTCACAGCCAGCAAGGTTGCATATCGTTTCCTTGCAGGCATTGCCTCTAACTCACAAGTATCCCCGGACAGCCCAAATTCCAACAGGAATTCACCTCGATTCCAAGTTTCTTGGTTCAAGAATATGATTCCTGCTGGTGACAAACCCTCCACAAGCTCTGTAATTGATGGGCCAAATCAGGACGTGATTAGGCAACAGCAGCTGCAACAGGAAGCAGATGATGAAGCAGCGGCAGCAGCACCCCTCAGACAGAATTCACGTCGTGGTAGCTGATGGGAAGAGTACATGGTTTTTTTAACTGATAAAAGATGCCAATGCTATTCTCCAAGAATGTGTTATGTAACTGTGTATCCTTGTAAAATGTACTGCTCTCTCTTCTTTAAACTTGCACTTACGACCAACTCAAGTTGTATGAAGTACATTGTGAAAATTTGTTGTATTCCTTCAAATTCCTGCAACAAAATTGTTAGGCCAGTTTTACCATCCTGCTTCCCCCCTCTACGTGGGATGGAATTGCATTTACATTAGTAATATTCTCAGGCTTCCAGCAAGTTAGCAATTTATTTTCTTTGCATTGAACTCATTTTGTGAGAACTTTGTAGTCACGGTATAGTATTTCAGAACTGAAACAATTTATTCAGTGTTCCCTTGTTATAAATCGTCGTTTCAATATTAGCCAGAAAAAAAAAAATGATATTAACTGATCCTCAAAAGTGTACATTGTACAGTTTAGTAAGATTCCCACAAAATTATCCATACTGATCAGTTGTTCCCAACAATGCGAGTACAGAGCTAACCGCAGTTTTGGAAGCAATTTAAACTTTAAGGCTACATGATCGAAACTGCAAACTGCTTTCTTTTTTTTTTTTTTTTGACAGATGAGAAAAAGGGATATTAGTCCCCAGAAACCTTACGAAAGAATACTAAAACAGTGAAAAAAAGGTAGAAAAGATTGTAATTTGCTGAGCTTTCCCCTGCCATGTAAAGCTCCTGCTAGATCGCCCTGCGCCCATTTGATAAGTCTGATGTCTTGAGTGGTCACCTCCAAGTGCCACAGCTGCTTCTCCAGCGCTAAGTAAACAACTAGGCTGAACAAATCAACACTACATGTCTTCAACTTCTAAGTGAACAGGCCAGGTAAAGATCGCTGAAAAAAAGAGACATTAGAAGTCCACCAAGGTCTATCTTAGCAGCCGCCTTTTTTTCCCAGAACTTACACGCACAAAAACATTAGCAATCAAAGCACAAGAAGAAAAACATAATCATATTGTATTAGCATCTCATAGCCCAGTTACACAGTAAACACAGAATGATGATAATAATACTAGTTCAAATCACAATAACAAAGACATTACTGGTCATTCAGAATATCCCAGTCTTGACAAAGCTCAAACTCAATTCATCCTATACGAAACGCTAAGAACCAGTAAGCCATACTAAAAGAAAAATCCAAACACATGATGACAATAACAATGTCGACAACATTACAGGAGACTGAAAACAAGGGGCACATCAGAGAAGCAGTATATACATTGGATGTTTATTCAGTGATATTCTGCCTTTATCATATGAATCATAACCCTTATTTTAAGCAATCTCAATATCGGTTGAAGAAAACTCTGTCCACGTGTGCATCTTCTCCAATCTGGAGAGATGAAACAGCCTGTGCCGCAATAAGGCCTGCAGAGATATCGTCATTGCTCCATGGTCCATCATCCAAATATGGCATGTGGAAGTTTTTCTCAAGTGGATATGATGAAAAGGGCTGATTGATATCTCCAAAGTGATTGCACTCGCACTCTTGTCCATAAGATCCCGGAAACCAGCCAAAACTCTCCAAGGAGCACTTATTTAGGCTCTGATGCGACAGAGCAGATTTGTCCATAAAAAGTCCGATATTCGCAGTATGGTGCCAACCACCAAAGTCTTCCTCTTTCTTCAAAACAATTGTAGGCGTGTCATTAGAGTCTTCTCCAAGTAAAACATGGAGAGCAACTGCTTCAGCAATTGCAGCACCCTCTTCATCAAGTCTCTGTTGCTCTTCATTTTTCAGCTGTTTCTTCTTCTCAAGTTCAGATCGAATTGCTGCAGAAGTCGCCAAGGCTTTCTCCAATCTCCTCCTTTTTTTCTCTGCCTGCTTCATGCGATCCAATTCATCCTTCACCTGCTTCTTTTTTGCCTTTTTCACATGGGGGGTTTTCGCTGACTCCATCTCCGACCTTTTTAACTCCAATTAACCTCAACTATAGTATGTTAGTAAGATTATCTTTCCTGAAATAAGAACTATTTTACGAAGTATACATTTACCCTCTAATTATCTCTCTTTTTATTTAAATGTTTTGAGAGACTTGTTTTATCTACCTTTTTTTTATCTCCTGCTATTTTTTTTTATATTTTCCTTATATGTTTCCTATCAGCTGTGGAACTATACTGAATTCTGAGACAATGTCTACTACACCCACTCAGGACTGTAATTATACCTTATCTTACGAACAAAACAACCCCAAACTGAGACAACAGGGGAAAGAAGAAGACCAAACTGGTAAGTTCTGAATGATTCATTCCTTCGCATCATTGTCCTCAGTTCACCCATCTGTGTGTGCCAGGGATGTATACAATTTGAATTCACATATGACAGCAGTCAGTTCCAAAAGAAGTTACATGACCACCAAGCTGTAGTTATAAACACAAAAACAAAGTCAGGACTCAGGAATCAGGATCATGAGCAGCATGGACTTATCACACATATTGCATATACAGAGCGCACACACAAAAACTCTTCAATAGTGACCATTAACATATGGAATCAGTATCCCCCCCCCCTCTCCCCCACACACACATGCGCTGTATAATTATTTAATCTAAAACACATCCCAATAGCATAATTCTTTCCAACAATTTTTCCACCAAAGTCAAGTTGGAAGAGATCACAAAGTGTCTTACAAAATCGTCCAAAACTCATTAGTCCATACAAAAGCACGCGCAAATACTCTTAATAAATGACATTAACACATGGAATCAGTATGAACACCCTCCCCTCCCTCCACCCCCAAACAACCAAAGAAAAAAAAGTCCAAGCTTTATTATTTACTCTATAACCCATCCCAAATCCCAATTCCTTCCAACAATTTATCCATCAAAGCCGAGTTGAAAGGTCATCAACTCATCATGTGCCTTACAAACTCGTCTAAAACTCAATCAAGCCACTTATCCAATGTATCGGATCGTATCCAAGCCAACAAAACCTCAAGACCCAATCCCGTTACACATCCGAAAGTTCATCTACCCCATTCAAAGTTAAATCCCAAGCTAAACAAATAAGAACACTAAATTGAAGTAAATTGAGTACTATGGTTCCAATTCGGAAGCTTAATCATTCATAAAAAAAAACATTCATAATAAATTAATAAGCACTCTGTCAAATATATAGATCATATTCAATGAAAATTTAGCTTGGATCAAACAAAATGAGAGAAATAAACATTTCTATTTACAGATAACAATCACAAGATTAGTAATGAATCAAACTCAACAAATATTTTACCTAGAAATGCTAAAATTATAGGTATAACAATGATTCCAACAAAATAATCCCAAAATTCTCATCAAAAAGGGGGAAAACAGGATCTACGACCAAAAAAATTTACATAAAACCCTCAAATCCAACGAAATAATAACACAAAAATCGAGATCCAACACACCCAAATGAAATTATGCACAATCACAGTATGCTGGATCAGCAATTTCATGAAATATCAAGAAATCAAACAAACCGACAATCAAAATCGAAAATTTAATTAAAAATTCCAAATTTTAATACAATTTAATAAATCAATACCTGATTTAATCCAAGATTAAGCCCAAATAATACGAACCCTAATCCTATGCATACGATTAAAAGGAAGCGAGTTTCAATAGATCGAAAAAACCAAGAAAGAAAAGAGAGAGAAAATGAAAGGAAAAAAAAAGGAAGAAAAGAGAGAAGGAAATTATGAACTGATTATCACAAGGATATTGAGGTGAGAGAAATTACAAGGGTAATTTAGTCATTTTAAGAGTTTTGGTTGGACAGGTGTCAATTTTTGATTGAGTAAGGTAGACGTTAAATCTAGATAATTCTGACACGTGGGTTTTACTAGTGTGCCAACCAGTGTAGATTTGAAGGCAAGTTTGTGGGTCCCTATTTTGTGAAGTGTGGGGTCAGAATTTGAGGAGATCTTGACCGTTGATTGGGAATGGCATGATGATCATGGGATGTAAAATTGACGGTCTAGATTTTAAGAGCTATGTAGTGTTGCGTAGAGTTGACTTCTAAGCATTTTCTGTGGGTTGTATAAAAAAATCTAGTTGGATAGAGGACAAATTATAATGAAATTTGTCACTTGTATTATCTTATAATTTTAAAAGTATCAAAATACAAATTAATTGAAAAAGTTAAGAGAAATACAAGTTGTTGGGTATAGAAGTAGTTATTGAAGTCTTTAAAGGGGAGACGGTGATCATTAGTTTATCGATATGTTTTAATTTAAATGCGGCTAGACTTTTATTTTATTTTTGATTTCAATTACTCGATTTAGGATAACACTTTGTGTTGCGAATTTTGATATACTAGCACATGTAAAATCAATCTATGGTTATTATGTGCACAAGCATTGTTGATGCCTTGATGGAACATGGTATGCAATGATTATGATATTTTATTAAGATAGTGTTTTTGTATAAATATAAACAATATGATAGATAATTGCTAAGGATACTAGATATCATATGGGATGTGAATGCTAGTGTGGAACTGCGGAACATAATTGTGGATGTTGATGTGTTACATATGTCAATTCAATGGTAGTTGCAATGAAAACAATAAGTCAAAGTTTAATTGTTAATTTATTTAGTCTTTTAAGTCACTCGTGAGAAAATATAATTGTATAAGAAGTTTTTAACCATTTAAGATTTGAATTGTTAAACGCCCAAAAAAAAAAATCTTAAGGTTGTTGGAAGAAGGAAACACTAGCAACTCGGGTTGTTGAAAAGACGCCAACAATCTTGAATGAGATATTAAGGGCCAATTCAGTTCAACTTCAATTATTTCAGTTCATTTTCTAATTTCTTTCTCTCATAAATTATATAATTCAGCTCAATTCAGTAAATTAGAATATGCCCTAAATCACGAAGGACGTTTTGTTTTTTTTTTCCTTGGTTTATTTTTCTTTGTCCATTTGCATTATTTTACACAATTCTAAAGTGCACAATTAAACATTAATGTTTCTAGTTATAGGCATTGCAACTATACACAAAATAAACAAGGCTCTATCTTTGTAAATTTACATAACAAACAATCGTAATTTTAAGTAAAAAGGGAGATTATACATATTGACCCTATACTATTGCGTTTTTCAAATTGTGATCTCGCTTTTTAAAAATTACACATTACGTAGTAAATTACTAAACTATACCGTGATGTTGTCGTTATACAACCATTAAGGCCCCGTTCACTTTACCTTAAAAAATAATAATCAGTAAAAATAAATTCAATTTAGTAAAAATAATTCTAAATCAGTAACTTTAATAAGGAAATATCACTAGAATTAATAAAAATAATTTAACTTCAGCAAAAATAATTTAAATTCTATAAAACTAATTTCAATTTAGCAAATTAAGACGAAGTGAACATGGCCTAACACCCAATACATGAGTAAGTATTACCCACTACCATGGTATTGTTATTTTTAATTTATATATTGTTATTGAGAGGAGAGAGACTGCAATTTTGCAACATGGGTGGGCTATCACTACTCCCCAATAGATGAAGTTTGATCAAGGTAGACTTTACAAATTACAGATACGTATTGAGCAATAATTAGTGAACACTAGACCCTAGTGTAGGGTCTACTACCTACACCCCCATACAAAAACGGTACCGTTTTACCCTTCCTCCTACTAACTCCTCACTTCTCATATACTATCCTCTTGCAAGTTGTTACAGTAACCATCTATACCCCACACACTACATTATGAAAAAAAAAAATTGAACCACCATTCAAATTTTCTCCCTTCATTCTTCTCATTTTATTTCTCCATTTTCTCTCTCATCAAAATCTTCAATATTTGCAAATAAATTTCAGTAAAAAGTTATAATTCTCTATAATAGTCAAGCACAATGTCTAATATATGAGATAAACTTACACAATCGCTGGATAAAAGTACCAAAACAAAGTCGAAAATCGAAATTGTAAGTGTTTTTGTTGATTTTGAAATGAAAACACAAGTTTAATGTCCTAGTTTTTTTTATTGATTTTTGTTGGCAATTGTGTTTTCATGAAAATAAAATAAACATCCAGCTTGAAAATGTATAAAAGTAAGTATGATGATATAATTTTACTTATTTTTGTACAAAAAAAATGGGGAAAAAAAAAGAAAATTTGTGGTGTGTTATTAGTTTATAAAATTGCTGAACTCAAAAAATTAAAAAAGAGTATAATTGTCGCAAATTTCTAGATGATTTAATCTATTTCGTATGAGTATAGATTTGTAAATTTAGTTCGCAGTGGAAAGTTCTATTTTTTATGAATGTTCATTTTCAATTTGGTAAATGTTCATTTATATATTAGTATGATGTTATTCACATGTTAATAGATTATTAATATAATTAATGTTCATTTATATATTAGCACATGATCATTCACATATAAATGTTTGTTCTTTTTATATTTTGAAGTGGAAATTTCTTTGATAAATGTTCATTTTTAGTTGGTAAATGTTCAATCACATAATATTATATGATCAAATGCATATTAAGATACATTTATTAGAATTTTGATATATGATAAACATATTTTTATACTACTAATTAAAGCACCCAATTATATCATGAAGTAGTTAATTTTACAAATTTAATAAGGAATTTCAATAAGAGTGTGTGTTATATAGCAGTTGTCATGGAAATGATTCTTACATACAATTACAATAAGGAGTGTGTGCTACCTTCAAAAAATTTCAATAACAAGTACAAAAATTATAATTTTTATACATTTTTCATCTATGATAATGCTCCTTAATTAAATGTTCAATTATAAATGATTGTATGTTCATTTACAACTATTACATAAATATGTTGAGTTTTGAAATATTATATGTTCAATTACAAATGTTAAATAAATATGTTCATTTCTGAAATATTATATGTACAATTATAAATAATTGTATGTTCATTCACAACCATTAAATAAATATGTTCATTTTGGAAATATTATATGTTCAATTTAAAATAATTGTATGTTCATTTACGACAATTAAATAAATATGTTCATTTTAAAAATATTATATGTTTGTGTATAAAATTATACGAATATTTTGTTTATAAAAAAAATTAAAAATTATACACTTCTCATTAAAATCAGAAGCAAGCTTTTATCAATGGTGATTTGAGCTTCTTTATATTTTCCCTGTTTCTTAATCCTTTGCGCTTTCCCCCTCTAACCCACTCAACTAATTAAGCTACAATAACCATTGTTGCCTCATTGCCCCACGACCACTGTTGTCTCGCTGCCGCCGCTATCACCGCTGCCACATAACCACCATCATCTCGCCACCACCGCTGTCATAGCAACTGCAATTTGTTTGTAATTGATTCGAATAGGCTTGCAATTTGCTTATTGAGTTGCTTTCTTGTGAGTTAGGATCATTAATTGCTTAGTTTTTTGAAACAAAGGATCATCAATTGCTTTATTATAATTGATACCATGGAAATCTCTTCACACTCTTTATTTTATACGAGTACAATAATTTTTACATGGAATTGAAACTCAAAACATTATATTAACTTGCAATGGTATATTACAAAAAAGAAAAAAAAAAGAAAGTAAACACAAAAAAGAACAAAATGACGTCATTTGGGGAGGGGGTGTAGGTAGCAGAAGCTACACCGGGTGTAGTGTAAAATTTTCAATTGAGCAATTGGCAATGGATAAAGGCCCAACACTAAAATTATGAAGTTCAACCTCAACTAAAACCCAAAACCCAAACCCATTGAATTATAGCCGCAATTCAAATCAGCAAAACCCTAAATATTCTTCTTCATCCTCTACAAAACCCTAACCCCTCTTTTCAATTTCATCATTCCTCTCAATCTCTCTCCTCTCAGCACTCCGCTCTTCTATAAAATCCCCCCATTAATTTTCTGAATTAGGTTTCTGATACTCAATTTCGACGTCAAGGTTCAACGATATTTTGCTAATTCGTCGGAATTTTCAGCGTTGGAAAGTTTTCAATTGCAATATCTTCATTTTGGTTGATGATGGTGGTAATCTTTCAAATACCCTTCTTTTTTTAAAATTTAAAAAATGTGAAAGATCCTTTTTTTTTGTTAATTGAAATTTGTTTTTGCTTGATTTAATTAGGGCTAAATGATGATAATTTAAATTGAATCTTAGCGGATTTCAGTGAGATTATTAATCTATGATCTGATTGTTACACACACTGATGCCCTTTTGTACTAAATTAAATGTTTTAATTTTTAAACTAACCCTAAAAATGCAGTCTTTAATTCTCAAAAAGCTTGTATATTTGATTATTTAAATGAAATTTATTGTTTTACTAGTATTTAAACCCTAAAAATGCAATACTTGATGCGATGATGAGATAAAAACACTGGAAGTGTAAATAGGCAGTGGACAAGATCCAATTTATTGGGTTTTTCCGTGAGCTTTAAAACAAACGACTTCTCCTTCCACTGAGCTCAAAATATCAAATTCTTATTATTTGATTTGAATTATTTTTACTTAATTTGTGTTCAAAATTATAAATTTGATTTCTTGAAATTAGCCCATTTGATTTTATGTTGCGCCCATTACCAATTCTGGGGGATAAATTCAGTTCCTCTTGGCATAATGGCTCGGGCGACAAATCAATGTTTAACAATGTGGTATATCCTGATCATTGGATTTTTTTTAATTTGTGTCTCTTGATCCTGGAAACGCCACATATATTTCAATTCATCCTGTTTGTTTTATTTGTTTTGGGGTTGTGTTTTGGTGATGACATTATTCATTGTGTTGTGTTCGTTGTCGAATTTATTATTGAATCTTATATAGTGAAGTGCAGTGATGAAGCTTAAGTGTGGACTAGAGTTTCTGATCATTTGGTTGAAGACAAACCCTTGGCTGTCTGAGCACTCATTACATCACATTACATTACCCTTTTTTTTTGAAACAATCATCATCAACATAGATTTATTGTTTGTAATGGTTTTTGATTAGTAGAATATAATTTGTTATTTGTTGTAAATTTAAAGAGTTACAGTGATGAAGCTAAGTGTGGACTAGAGTTTCTGACCTTTTGGTTGAGGACAAACCCTTGGCTGTCTGAGTACTCGTTACAGAATTAAATGTATAGTTGTGTTTGTTGATGTATTTGTGATTGTGTGTTGTTCAGGTAAAGTCTAGTGTTTGTTTTTGGGTATGCAGTGATGAAGCTTAGTGTGGACTAGAGTTTCTGACCTTCGGGTTGAAGACAAACCCCTTGGCTGTCTGAGTAAACCTCTTAGATATCGATGTTTGTATAATGTGTTTTTTTTTTTATTGTGAATTGTTTTGTGATTTTGTGGTATGTTTGTGGAATGATTAGAGTTGATGATGATACTTTATATTATCTTAGCGGATTTCAGTGAGATCAATGATCTATGATCTGATTGTTACACACACTGAAGCTCTTATTTCACAATTCATTAGTTATGTTTGCTTACAGTTTTTTGTTTATGTTTGTATGTATGTTGCTATGACGACATTGGAACACGGGAGTGTTCTTTGGGCAGAGGACAGGATCTATTGGTCTCGCCGTGAGCCTTTCTATTAACGACTTCTTCTTCCACGGAGCATTAAACACAAATCTATAATTCATCTATTGCGTTTTTGTAATGGTTAGTTTGCGTCCAAATACCAATTCCGTAGGATAAATTTCGTTCCTTATGGTGTAATGGCTCGGATGCTATATAAATTAATGTGGTTTATCCTGATCAGTGGCTTGTTTACTTGTAGTGTCATATGATCCTGGAAAGGCTTCATACATTTCTTATTTTCTGTATGTTGAACCTTATGCTGTTTGGTGCTGCTATGATGAATCTAAGTTTGGATAGAATTTTCTGACCTTTTGGCTGAAGACAACACATACTTGGCTGTGGTTCTGAGCAAGCACATATAGTGATTTTTCAGTTCTTGTTTTCAAACTTTATTGCTTGGTGTTGAATATTATTGAAAATGCATGTTTCTGATTTGATTGATTAAACTAATATGATATGCTGATAAATATCGAGACAAAGGGGTGATGAATCTCTATAATATTGCAAAAGCAGCATCTCAATATATTGGGTTGCAATGAGCTTGGCTAAACCACACGAGATTTCTGACTTCTCTTTATGTTAATCAAAATCAAATCTCTTTTATTTGTTTGTGTTTCTTAGGGTGTTTTTATGTTGCAAATCTGATTTTATTTATTTGAATATTTGTGTTGGTTGATTAGTTGATCATATATATCCTTTCCAAAGAATTCAGAGAGTACAGGGATAGCTTGTTTTCTGTTATGGAAGTTGCTTGCATATTTGAGCTGTTTGTGCATAGGCTGTTGATGTTTATTGGTTGTGAATTAACTGAAGAAAATGAGAGAGCTGCTGAAGGGGAGGCGGGATGTATTTTCAATGAGGATGAGTGTCTTGTTGCTATTGAAGGACGGTGTGCTTCATGTATAGTTTACCTTAATTTTATTGATAAATTTTCTTTAGTCAACTTTGTAGTGTAAAATAATATGAACATTGTGAAGATTTGTTTACAAGCTATAATTTATAATGTATATTCGATTATTCAATGTAATTTTTTCTTTAGTTTTTGTTGTTGGCCGTGTGTTTTTTCAAACTGAATTGTAATACTTTCAATCTGCATTGCAAAGACGTACAAACAAGAATTGTTATGGTTAGTACAAAAGATGAGAATTTTAATTTTGTATGGCAAGCTAGACAATTTTACTCGAATTGTATGAAGTGAAAATGTAGGAAAATTTCACATCTGCTACTACTCAAATACCCCTAGTTCACTTTTGCTACTCATCAAACAATTTATTTTATTTTGCTATCATACAAAATCACATAATTTTAATTTTGCTATCACTTTTAATTACAATTTATGTGCGTGAGATCAATTACCCTCACTGCCACCCTCCCTCCTCGCACACCGTCGTTGCCTCCCCATTTGCCACCTTCAACCCATCATGATTTTTTGGTTTTCAAAAAACCTAGCAACCCCCCTACCGGCACCGGTGACAGCCCATTAGGGCAGCCATCACCCTCCTTTATCCCCTTCTCGCTGCCCTAACCCCTAGCTCAAAATCGAAAAACCACCCTAAACAACCCCCCCAACCCTTAAACACCAGCCCGAAACCACCATAAACGAAACCCGTAACCCCGTTCCCCTCGTCGGCGACCGACCATCAGTTTTTCTCTTCTTTGGTATGAGCCCAACCACTTTCTCTGCTCCGACGCTGCATACTGTCGCCCCTCCTCCTTACCCCTAACCACAATCCCGAAGCCCACGAAATCATAGGAATAAAAACCCATCCCCTACCTCTAAAATCCCCAAATCGTTCCTCCTCCACCCTCGAAAATCCTATTTTGGAGCTAGGCGAGGAGCGATCAGGAGGTTTCAAGGGTGGGGGGAGGGTTATACTAGGATTTCTTGGGAGGGAAAAGGGTTTAAGGGCTAAAGGCAGAGCGGTGTCGCCGCACAAGAGATTCTAGTGCGTCGGTCGAGGTTTGGGGTTTGGCGTCGAGAGAACGATGTTTGGACGCCGGCATAGGGAAGGGGAGGGGGAGGGTGGTTGACGGGGATGGGAGGTGGCTGAGAATTTTTTTTCAAAGAGGTTCTTTTTTTTTTTAAAAAAAAAAGAAAAAAATTAAATTATTATTTGATTAAACAATAGGCCCCACTTTACGGAATTCGTTGCAATATGTATAACTTTGGGAATTGGGTGGTAGTAAGATAATATAAAAAATTAAACTGATAGTAAATGTGAGGCAAGGTGCTTTCGCTGGTAGCAAATGTAAAATTTTCCGAAATTTTATTAACATTACAAGTTCAAGAGGAAGTGTAATTTCGCAATAAAAAATCATCAAATGGAGGTCCTTGTCATGTTGAAGTAGTGTCATCTAATCAATGTGAAATCTTATAACTAGGCAACTAGTTATCAAGGACTTGTGTTACCATTAGTTGGTTTTCTTGATCACACATGTTTTCTCTCTTATATTTGTACTTTAAGTTTCTTATGCACGTAAAACACTTAAGAGAATATAAGTAGCATAAAATAAAAAAATAAAAAAACTATGCCAATTATAAGTTTATAACTAGACAAGTGGCGAACCCTAATCTTTTGCCCACTTTTTGCCTTAAGTCATGCAAGTCATGCATTTATGTCTCCATTTTTTTTTCCCATCTTCTCTCTCCTCATGCCCATTATAAAAGGACAACCAATGAGTGTGCTATGTAATAGATCTCTAAGGGGTATTTATGTTTAGATCGATGTAATCTTTATTTTTCCACTTTTAACATGTTATATGCGGCTCTAAGGGCTATGTATGTTATTTTTCTTACTTTAATTAGGTTAAACAACACATAGATGTACTTGTGGAATGAAAACGTAAAAAATATGTCTTTGTTGTGCAAATTACTCTTATCAACTTTCAAGTCATCTCTATTAACACAACATATTTTCAAATTTAAGACAATAATAAAATAATATGAAACAGAGGTGGTATTCTCTTCTTTGTTGAACAAATAACAGTACTCTGTATTAAAACCCCACCGTATCCAAACTTATCCATACAGTCTATTCTTTATGTCTCTCTAATCTCGTCTCACCCAAACCCAATTTGTCCCGTTACTATTGATACTCACTAAGAGTTATGCTTATTACTCCGTAATTTATACCACCAATTCACCGTACTTTAAAAACATAAGTGTAGTTTAATGAAGCAATGTTAAAGGCACGAACGAGTTGTATCGTCTAATATGTGATACGAGTAGGTCCTTCTATTTTGGACACACACATATTGTCCTAATTGTTATACCCAAATCGTATTATCTCAACCTTGTTCATATCAACCGTTGTGCTTCTATCCCCAGAAATTTGGCCCAAAACTAACCTTCTTCAACCTTCCTTCTTCCCAACAAAATGAGCTCACACCTGTAAATTTCCAACACCCAATTCACCTCCCATCTCCAATTCTCCATAGCAATGCTATCCCTAAAACCTCCATTTTCCCCTCACTCTCTCTCTCCTTCCAACAACCCCTTCTTCTCCTTCAAACCCCTCCTTAAACCCTACTTTTCCCCACCTCAAAAACCCCATTTCACCTCCATTAAATCACTTCTTCAATACAATCGTAAACCCGAACTCGCCGGAACCACCCCTAGAGTCGTCGTCATCACCTCCGGCAAAGGCGGCGTTGGAAAAACCACCACCACTGCTAACATCGGCATCTCCCTCGCTCGTCATGGATTCTCTGTTGTCGCCATTGATGCCGATGTTGGGCTTAGAAACCTCGATCTTCTTCTGGGTCTTGAGAATCGTGTGAATTACACTGCTTTAGAGGTTCTTAATGGCGATTGTCGTCTTGATCAAGCGTTGGTTAGGGATAAGAGGTGGTCCCATTTCGAGCTTCTTTGTATTTCTAAACCCAGATCGAAATTGCCATTAGGGTTTGGCGGAAAAGCCCTAATTTGGCTTGTTGATGCCCTAAAACATCGAAATGAGGGATCCCCAGATTTTATTATAATTGATTGTCCTGCTGGAATTGATGCTGGGTTTATCACCGCAATTACGCCGGCGAATGAGGCGATTTTGGTTACGACACCGGATATTACGGCGTTGAGGGATGCTGATAGGGTTACTGGATTGTTGGAGTGTGATGGGATTAAGGATATTAAGATGATTGTTAATAGGGTTAGAACTGATATGATTCAAGGGGAAGATATGATGTCTGTTTTGGATGTTCAGGAGATGCTTGGGTTGGCGCTTCTGGGTGTAATTCCGGATGATACCGAGGTTATTCGGAGCACAAATCGAGGGTATCCTTTGGTTTTGAATAAGCCCCCGACATTGGCCGGATTGGCTTTCGAGCAAGCTGCTTGGAGGCTTGTGGAACAGGATAGTATGACCGCGGTTATGGTTGAGGAGGAGCCCAAGAAACGCGGCTTCTTTTCGTTCTTTGGAGGATGAAGTGAGGTTTGGACAATGTAGTTATAGGGATCATGTGGAGGAGGTCAATTGTTGGAGCTTGGATTATGAATTTGCTTTGAGAAGTTTTGTGTACAGATGCTAGGTACGGGATTTTTTAACTAAAAGTTTATTTTGGAATTCAATTTGCTGTCGTTTTTTTTCTCTATGAAGTAGCTAGAATATTGGAATGCAGCTTTGGATAATTGTATCATGAAAACTTTGTAACTTTTGTTGCATTAATTTGAATGGAATGTTATGCATTGTTGAATCATTTTTTGTTTATGTTGGAGAAGTTATTCTTAGTTGCTTTGCCTGTATATATTTTGATTTTCATCATCTGCACAATGTAGTTAGCTGCGTAATCAACTTGTATGACTTATAGGCTGTTTGATTTACTTGTTTGTTGAGATAGATTGAATGATTGATGCTTAAAAAACACTTTGAGCTTTCAAGATTAGTTCTTTTTCTATTTTTATTTTGCTTTTGTGTGAGTAGAAAGAAATGGGAGCCCTTAGTTGAGGGTTAATGTAGATTATGTAGTTACCATTTATATTGTGCATATTTTGCGCTGTAGTATTTGTGGAGTGCTATAGTTGTGTAATGCGTTCATATGCATTTGGGACTGAGACCACTTTTTACACATTGAGAAAGCATTAGAGGGACATGATTGTAGATGAGCTTTTGGATGATGTAGTTTTCTTGATAATTTGTGACATTACTTAAGTGCCTATTCCGTGGCTCTTTTGAGTAAAATCTTAAGATAGAATTCGATTGATAGATTTTTGCAGCTCACTGCTGTGCCATTGTAACCTATTTTTTCTCCCTGGGTTATCGTGGATTCATCTAGTGCAGTACTGTTCCCACTTTAACCTAGCACACCAATGACCTAAGCAACTCACACTCTCTAGTCTTTAAATATTGGTTTTCTTTTGCTGAGTGAGTTGGGGAGACAGAGGGGAGTTAAAATAACAGTTTCAAGGCGAAAGGGATATCTTGAAGATAGACCTGAGAGACCATGATTCGCCATAAGGGTCAAGGTTAAAATTCTGCAGGGGATAATATCAAAACTTAAAAAGACAATTATACCGAGTGATAGAAGCCACCCCTTAAGAGATTTGGTGCTTGTAGAGGAAATATAAATTATAAAAGCCCAGTACCTCAAGCAAAAAGCAAGGTCAAAATGGATTTGGGGGAAAAAAAAAGAAAAAGGGCTGTATATTGCTTTTTATAAGCTATCAAGGGAATTGTTGTCTATATGATGGATTGATTGTGGTTTTCACTGATAGCTGATGTTGAGGTTGCTGCTGCTGATTATATTTTAGTGATCAGGATCTCAGGGAACCTCTGTTTCATTATTTACCTTGCAATTTCGTTCTGCTTCACTCTCAACCAGAACATACAAAGTAAAAGATTTTTTTTAAAATCCTGGATCTTGATTTTCTTGTATTCTGATTAAGATTAGGATAGATCTGTTAGGATGGTCAGACATTACTTATTGGAAAGCGGTATGTCGATTCTTTTGGAAGACTTTTACTGTAGAAGTGGAGGAAATAAAGCATCATTTCCTGATGGTCAAGCAATTTTGTTCAAAATGAAGATCTGTGGAAGGTATAAGATCCTCTTTCATTTCTCCGATCTTTATAATTATATTGTGTCTGGTTACTCTGGTATGAGAAGTGTACACCAATTATGTAGCCGGGATTTTCAGTTAGTTTAATGACGAACTTTGGGTTCTGGTTGCTAATTAGTTGGTGTTTCTACCCGTAAATTCAAATAGAGCTGCTTTGATATATGAGTTTCACTTTAAGAGTTGTGTATTTTATTATTTATAACAACAGTAAGGAAAAGGATGACAAGAAGCCAAGAAGGGTTGTGTACTTAAGTGTGTTTTGGATGGCTATTTTTGGATTGTGTATATTGGGTACTTGGGCGGTTATCAAAATACTGTGCCTGTGCCCTGTGGGCAGTACTCGGCGGATTATGCTGCTGGGTGTGAATATTTTATGCAGATGAGAGTTACTAATCAAGTACGGAGTGTGTTGGCTTTCCAAGAGGCTGTAATCTCAGATTATGTTCTATTTGACTATTTCCCAAGGCTTTGTGGTTATCTTCTATAAAATATAGAACTTCCGCTTTGGTAAGGAAATGATTCTCATACATTAAGTATTTTTTGGCCTTTTGGGTGGCAAGCCGAGTGGGGGGGTTCAAGATTACTGATATAAAGGAGGAACTCGGTGAGCCTTGAGTGGTGATGGGATATAAGATCAGAAAATAATGGCTTTAAATCAAGGATTTTGAAGGACAAACCATGTGAACTAATAAGTTTGATTTACATGCTTTACATTTTGAAGTGACTATAAAATTGCTTCATGATGTCTTTATGTTGTTCCAGAAGTCAAAATAGTTTGCTATGTGCATTGATTTACTTCCATGAGTTTTGTAAAGATGATTACAGCCTTGTGTATGAGAAGAATATTTAACAGAGAGGCGAACAAATGAATCTACCAACATGTCTCACAATATTATGTTTATGTTAGATGATATTCTGCTTATTTTCTCCTCGATTTGTTTTGTCAAAATCGTTGCACCACAATACAAAGCATATTGGAAAAAACGATGTCGCCCATGTCCTTACGAAGTTAGATCTTTGAAGTTAGAAAAATAAGCTAAGATGAGAAAATAAACAAGAGTGGGAGACATCTCATGAAACACGACCCATTCCAGAATAACATGTAAATCCATTCATATTAACGTATATAAACCTATAATGTCATGCATGTTGATCCAAAAATGGAATAACTTTGATTTATCTTCTCATGAATGAATATATAATTACATTACATTAGAGAAAATGTAATAGTGCAATGTAGAAATTAATCAATCTTGCCCGTTCCAGGTCCTCTTGAAGGTTAGTAGTATTTGCTAAAGTTCCTTTCATTCTATAACACTCTCTTCTACAAAACCAAGCCAAGCCTGTAGTATATGCAGCAAAGTGTCAGTTATCTTGTACGTTGTTTGGACTTCCATTGTTTAATAGCTTCAAGCAGGGCAGTGTTTGGCATTATAAACTTGTGAGGAAGTGGTTGATTTGTAGAGGGCGATGTGTCATTTTCTGTCAGCCACTGCTCTATCGCCCTCCGGTCGTATGTGTATCCATCAGCTGCCACATATGGGTCCTCCATTACATCCTGTTAGTGAAATCACAAGGATTTATTAGCAATGAATCAATAATTTCAAGTGTAGTTTATGACTTCCTGTTTTAATTTGCTTTCTTACAACCTTGGTTTTTAATGCTAGGTAACAAATTATTTTAAGAACTAAAAAATGTTGCATTCTGATATCCTATTATACTGGTTTGGGATCTTGAGGGACTCATAATGATCTGAGATTGTTCTGTAGTAGCTTCTATCAAGGACAAATTCATTTCAATAGCTTAATAAAGTCACTGTTGGCTAGTCTTTAGGGGATCCAGTTTCCAGATGTATGCCGCCTTGCCGTAAACAAAAGAGACGTATAGTCCATGTCAGTGGACTATTTGTTCATGTAAGAACCATGAAAACTTTACAATGTGTCTAGCAGTCTAGATTAAGGTGACCAGCAAAGATTCAATCTTTTAGTTCTGTCAAGTTAGGAAAGCAAATGAAATCTGACAAGAGAAAGGTATGACTGGCATACCTTGAGAATGGGGCAGATAAAGTGTACTGGTGTTGCTGTTTGGGCGTTTGTAGCTGAATTGCGGGCACTGTCAGCCATTTCATTCATTCTCTCTAGGGCAGGAAGAACCTTATCTCTTAAATCAGGCCGATCTCTACCTCTAAGTTCAGAACACTGCAGTCCTAGTAACGCCAACTCAAGTGTTTCCTTCTCTGGCCATTCCCCAGCTTCTGGATCCAAGATTTCTATCAAATTGTCTTCATCAATTGCATCCTCAACCAAATAAGATATCCCAATTGCTGCTTTTGCTGTCAATAACTGTAAGATCACCACTCCCAAGGCATATATGTCCGACTTAGTTGAAACTCTTCCAGTCCTCTGATACTCAGGATCAATGTAGCAAAGTGTACCAACTGGGCTAGTTTCTTTGTATATGGTTTTCAGGGACATATCGGAGGGCTCTAAATTGATCATTGTACCTAGACCAGCATCACCAATCTTGCTAACTAAGTTGTGGTCAAGCAAGATGTTTGCTGGTTTCAGGTCCCTGTGAATAATAGGTCTTGGCTTCGTGCTGTGAAGAAAGGCAAGTGCCCCTGCCACCTCATAGCAGATTCTGAACCTTTCATACCAAGGTAGAGAAGGCTTTCCATTCTTATGAAACAACACATCATCAAGGCTACCGTAGTCCATGTACTCGTATATAAGTGAACTCTCTTCTGGAACAGCTCCAAGGAGCAGCAGTAGGTGAGGGTGACGAATTGTGCTCAAGATTTCTAGCTGTTAAAGTACCAATAGTAAATTAAACATCATTATCTGATTAAACTAATGTCTTTCATCTTATTGTTGCACAATTATTTGTTGGTTTATTTCAAACACAATTTTAAAACTAATTCTCATACCTCCTGAACGAATTGCTTGTTTGTGACACTATCTTTAGAGTGGAGGACCTTTACTGCCACAGTAGTGTGGTGCAACTTGCACTTGTACACAATCCCAAATGCACCTGCCCCGATCTTAAACTCCTCTGACAAGGACGAAGTGGCTTCCACGATCTCTTCCCATGTAAACTTCTGATACTGAACGGCTGGACTTGCAAACAGCTCTTTGAGCCTGTTCTTGCTTTCCTCCTCTTGAGCCTGTTCAGATCTGCTCTTGCGATTATTTCTTTCAGCTTTTACCCCTGTATCTATAGCTGCAAATTGTGCTGCTTTGGTTTTGTTCTCAAGATTAGTGATCTCTTTACATTTATCCTCCTTCAGTTTTAGTGCTTCCTCCAATCGCTCCTTGCTCATTTCTTGGAGCTGATCAAGTGGAAATTGGAACTACAAAGGTGAAATTACATAAGCAGGACATGGAAAATATATAATGGAAGTTCCTTATATCTATTGACATGAAGTTCAATTAGTGTAGCTTATATATCATCTTTGAGCAAGCATTTTGAGATGTTCACATTAATCTGTAAGCATTTTTAAACAAAGGGAGTGGTTGAAATTAGTTGGCGTTGAATAAGAGATTACCCGTTCATCAATAGAACTATTCTGGGTCAGTTCATACATTTTTTCGATATGCCTTAGTTCAATCCTCAGCTTTTCAAGTTCAGACATCTGCATACCAGGCTATAAGAAATCCATCATAGGAGCTAGGTAATCATCTAATAGATAATTTATCAGTCATGAGATTACCTGATTTGGAGAAGCACTTTGTTCAGAACCTGATGGTATACCTAGAAAAGAAACTGAGGGTAGAGGACCAGAGCTAGGGACTGGATGGGTGTCCGGATAAGAACATCCTGGTGGAGTCCCTGGGCGAGAGAGTGCTAGAGGTGTGCCTGGATAAGAACCTGTAGGCGCAGTACCAGCATAAGGAACTGCATGAGTATCCACATAAGAACGTCCTGGTGGAGTTCCTGGACGAGAGAGGGCTAGTGGTGTCCCTGCATAAGGACCTCCTGGTGGAGTTCCTGGGCGAGAGAGTGCTAGTGGTGTGCCTGCATAAGTATCTGTGGGTGGAGTTCCTACAGGAGAGACCACGGGGGAGTGCCCCTATAATAACCTGTCGGGTGTGTTTCTGCATAAGAGACTGCGGGAGTATTCCCAACAAAAGAACCAGCAGGTGGAGTGTAAAGAAAAGATCTCGGGGGTGGAGTGCCTGTAGGTGACTGGGCATTAGGTTGGATCCCTGCGAATGAACTTCCAGGAGATGTTCGATCAGAGGCCCATGATCCAGAGTCTCCACTGCTAGAACTGTGACTGCGAATACTGGCACTCCCAACATTTGAATTTGTATCCTTATAAAAATAATGCTTGAGTTCTATTGTTTCCCTTGCTAAAACTTTAGGTCCAGCAGCATTTCTTGGGAGATATTCGTGTTGTTTAGGTTGGGAAACAGAAGTGGAAGATTCTGAAGCAGGAGGGCCACTAGCTAAGCTTCCGTCTGTCAAAGTTGTCTGTGTTAGATAACTTTAAAGCAGGTATGACCTAATATTGTGTTTAAATAGACAAGCAACTCGTAAAAACTCACATTTTGGTGATGAAGGCCTGCTTTTCAGTAGACGGCCTGCAACATAGGAAACGCCTTAGATTCAAAAACTGATTTTCTTCACTAACTTTAAGGTTGTGTTCTCTTCACATCAACATCAGAATATCCTTAGTTTTAAGAAATACTCGGATAATTCCAGAAGTAGTACATATACTCACAACTTCAAAATAGATAGATAAGTTCATATTGTCTGCAGATTTACCTATTGTAAGTGAAGAAGAGCTAGAAGAACTATCAGTCGACGTGCTTGACAGATTACTTGTTTCATCCATGTATATCACATTCTGTTCTGAATCTGCAGGACGTATTTGCTGAAGCTTTCCATCACCAATGACATAGACTGAACAAAAACCAGGAGCATTTTCTGAGATGACTTGTGATAGATCATCTCCCCTGATCATTGTCAGATTTTTCCTACAAAAAAGTTATTTTCTGATTGAGCTTATTCGTCATGGAATTAAGATGTGAAAACATCAATGAACCATGTAAGATACTTTCTCACTATCTGGTTAGTACATTGAAAAAATGCTTGTTGATGTAACTCCGATGACAAGATGTCTTATTGCTTTTCTAGTGATCTCCAATGAAAGTGCCATGGCAATATCATCTGACTCAAGTACTACAATTTCTGATTTTACCTGCATTTAGCAGAATAAGTTTTGTTAACTGAAATAACAGATGAAGCAGAATATAGTAGGGGGGGGGGGGGGGGGGGGGGGGGGGGGGAAGCAGTTGTAATCAGCAAATCAGTATATACAAAATACTACTCCATCATGAATCAGTAAAGATCAGTTAGTACATACAGTTTCAGTTTTAGTAAAAATCGCGTTAACAGAATAAGGATATACACTCTCCAATAACAGTACTTTTCATATAAGTTGTAGGAAGGGGAAAAAAAAACCTTTTGTGCTTTCAGTATTTTGTGGTATGGGAACATTTTCCTCTGTTTCTTCCACTCAATTTCCTGTCTATAACCATTTACAACTTCCTCTCGAACTTGTGATACAGGTAGCCAAGTTCCCACTGAAAACAATACTCAGAAAATTAGTCAGCAGGTGTAATATATCTGTATTCTGCATCATTTTATTTAGAAAAAGAAAGCCTTAGCATATTTGCAATTGTTTTTCAGATGTTTATCTCGTAGGAGTTTTACTCACTTGGTGTAGGTACTAAAGTTATTTTTGGGTACACATATATGAGCTTGAAGGTAACATCTCCCTCTGGAAGGAATTTGTCGAGTGCCCACTTCAAAATATACTTGCTTTTTCGGCTTCCAGTCAGCGCGACTGCAACAAGGAGTTGTTCTTGATCAGCAGCCTTCATTTCTGCCATTTCTTGACAATAAGCAGCAAATGACTCTCTGTAATAACATGGTAAATCAACAAAGTTATATATAATTTTTTTCATCTACATTGAAAATTAAATGCATGCTATGATATTGTTACAAGTTTTCATGTTTTAGGTTAGCTTTTGGATATTGATTTCCTCCTTTCATGTGGAAAGAAATCTATCAATTTAGCCCTTGTGTACTATTAAAACAAGTCCAACGACCAACTTTTCGTATAGGCAATGGTGCAATTTTAGTCGAACCATGTCAGAGGCGGTGTGTCACGGCCTCAAGCATAGCCCTTGGCTTCGTGCCAAATCGGCCATCCTAGATTCCTAGGGACCTAACCAACGGCATGGCACGGCCATACATGTTCAACACTAAGCATTTCATGATGCATTGTATAAATAGTTTGACCATGTCGCGCCATGGGTCACCCGTGCTAGATTGCAGCCTAGACATAGCCTATTTTAGCAGAGGCAGCCTTGTGAACATGACAAAAACCAAACAATTGGGAAGAAAAATCCATGAATTGGATGATCTGATACAAAGCAAGTCAAGTTTCACATACATTATAATGCAGACAATAGAAAAGTTGGTTAAATCAAGAAAACTTACCAATTTCTGGAGTCCAACTATGTTTGATATCTGCAAAATTCAAAGAATGTACATCTATTTCTCTGTAATCTGAATACTAATTAAAGAGATTAATAGATCATCTCTGCTAAAACAAAAGAAAAACTCATTTCTCATGCCATTGAATTAGAACAAAAGGGACCCACCTTTGCACGTCTCTGTGTTTTGTTGGTGACATTACAAATGCTGGAGTATTCAAGGAACTAGTGTTTGATCAACGACTTGTTCATTATGTTATGTGAAATTTTATTATTGCGTACTTTGACTAGCATTGCCGCCTTCTATATGTAAAAGCTTTGCTTGGGGTGCTACGTAATATGTTGACGGATTTTGATATTTGATTCTCAATAGTCATTTCTCGGTACCATCTTCCAATAATTTGAATAGCATTCAAAATTAAATTGAAGGTAGAGAAAAAAAAAATTGTCACCTTTTCTAATAAAGTATTGGATAAATCCATTCGAAATTAATATGGAGTACATTTTAATTGAATGACTAAGAAAACTATCTAATTTTTAAATATACTTAATTAGATTTGTTGTTATTTTTTTTTGCGTACAAATATAATGTCAAAGAAATTTTGAAGCACGAAGTACTTCGTATAAATATTTTATTTTATTATTTTTATTTTTTATTTATTTATTTTTTATGAAAAAAATGTATTGATAATAAGTTAGTTGTTTTTTTTAATGGGAAGTGCTTTGACTTGAACATCCTAAAGAACTAGGCGAGGTGACATTAAAAAAAGGGACAAGGATCAAGTGCATATTCGATGTAGTTGCATGCACGTTTCCCATATTAATAAAACCTCAAAGAAATGGACAGGAAGTTTGAGGTTGTCAAAGTGTCAATCTTGAGGGAGCAGGACCATGCGTCTTACTTCACTCCCTTGGACAATTATTTATTTATTTTTTTTTTAAAAAAAAAAAGAAAAATTCAATCGTGATATGTATTTACGAACCCATGTGTTTCTAATGTATAAATTTTGGTTCAAAGGGGAAAAAATTACATTTATGGACGGTTACAAGTGGTTAGCAACTCAGTAAAAAACCATTAATGACCCCCAATATTGCCAATTTAAAATCCCACCAAAGAAGCGAAACACATTAGGCCAAGCTATGCTTGATCTTCTTGGGAGGTGATGGATGTTCTTCATCAATCTTAAAAATATAATTAAATTAGGTTATTAACTAATTTTACATGTCTATACCTGCATTGTAGTCTAATTTCCAAATTACAGCATAGTATAACTATTTATATTATGGGTAATGTTATATGTTAGGGCTATATATAAGCATTAAATATACTCTTGGAAATTGTATCAAATTAGGAATTCATGACCAAAACACGCGTAAATCAGTGTTATCTATACTAATATATTAAAAGGCGTTTCTAACAACGTCCACTTGTCACGTAAACTCCCCTCACTACACCACATCATCCATTCAAGTACTCATAACGCCACGTGGCTCTTTCTTCCATTGATTTTTATTACATGTCATGCACTCATAATAATTATAAAAAAAAGTTCTCCACAAGATTTGAACTCGCAACTTGTAATTCAAGAACTCTTACCACCAAGCTATGTGATTCTTTATGTAATCTTTTGAATACAAAATATTAATATGTAGCAAATGACAATATGAATAACAAATTTAATTACAAGAAAATAAAATCATAAATTACAATGTATATATTAATGACCAGTCAGTTTCATATAATAACCCGGGACATCGCCCGGGCCCAAAAACTAGTTAGTGTTTATATTTTGATGATTTCTTAATTGCATCTGCCCTAAAAAAAAAAAAAAAAAATATTTGCATCTTATTAATTTATTAGGTTTTGATGGACTTCTACATCCAGAGTCTTGAAACTGTAAATCTTTCACCAAGTAAAGACCCATAAATATTCGGACCATATTAATCTTTCACCAAGTAAAGACCCATCTGAAGCCCATGAAAGCCATAAGTTAATATTTTGGGTGGGCTTAGAAAATAGAAAGGATTCTTGCCAGTTGGTCTAATGTCCATATAAAAACAGATACCACATGCACACCAAGACCCCATTGTAGTCCTTTTTTGTTTTAGGAAGAGGGTGTAGACCGTAGTCATAAGGCCGAAACCTCTAAAATTTCTCAAAAAGCGTGGATGTTAGTCTTTAATTTTGAATTTTTTTGACTTTTTTCACCCCGGAAATTTAAATTGCCGAAATAATCACCATGTTCCCTAATACCCTCCGGGAGTCCAATTGACTCGGTGGAACTATCAAATTTGCCTTTAAACGACAAATTTACCGGTTTACAACTAGCATCGATTTCATTAACTCAAGCCTACCACGAACATTTATGACAACATATAACGATCATATATGGTTCTAAACGGAATTATTTGACCTCGAGATATATCCCCTACAATCTCAATTCTTTTTGACAACGGGTCGCAGAACAATCAAAATTTCTCAAAAAGCGTGGATAGCCTTTAATTTTGGAATTTTTTGACTTTTTTTTCGCCCGGATAGAAAAATTGCCGAAATGTTTATCATGGTCCCTAATACCCTCCTGGAGTCCAATTGGGTGGGTGGAACCCTCCAATTTGCCTTTCTACGACCAGTTTACCGGTTTACAACTTCATCTATTTCATTACCTCAAGCCTACCACGAACATTTATGACAACATATAATGATCATATGGCTCTCAAAAAGCGTGGATATTAGCATTCAATTTTGGAATTTTTTGACTTTTTCGGATGGAAAAAAAAATATATCGAAATATTTACCATGATCCCTAATACCCTCCGGGAGTCCAATTGGTTTGGTGAAACCATCAAGTTTGCCTTTAAAGGACCAATTTACAGGTTTATAACTTGCACTAATTTCATTAATTCAAGCCTACCACGAACATTTAAAACAACATATAATGATCATATATAGTTCTAAACTGCATTATATGACCCCAAGGTATATCCCCTAAAATTTCAATTCTTTTCGACACCGGGCCCCGGAACATTCGAAATTTCTCCAAAAGCGTGGATATTAGCCTTTAATTTTGGAATTTTTTGACTTT